GTGTGTGTGTGTGTGTGTGTGTGTGTGTGTGTGTGTGTGTGTGTGTGATAAAAGTCTTATACAATCATTTGAATTACTTTTAAAAAGACTGCAACTATTTTTACAAGAAGTAAATGTTCCTCATTCCATATTTATCTCTGTTTTTACTCAAAAGGAGATTTCATTGTTCGGAAATATGACAAGAATGCAAATAAATGATTCGGAACTTTAATATTGAACCATGAGGTTCAGCCTCTGACTGTTGACATAGCCTTGCCTTCCCTTTTTTCATCTGAGCTCAGAATTGGTCAATATTTTCCTAAAGAAGCGAGTAGCCAACTAAAACAAGGTATACGCTATTTTAAAAGATATAGATCCTTACGGAAAAATTTTTTCAAAAATATTTAACCAGAAAAGGCTTTAAAGATAACAGACCTCATTCTATTCTTTTTATTTAACTTACCGGTAATCTTATCAGTAAAGCCACTGATATGGCCTTTATTTTTTGTAGGATTTATGTTACTTAAATTGCACACAAGTAGGATGAGGTTGCGTCCACTATTTCATTCTCGGCAGAGCTGGTGTGCAGTTTGCAGGCAAGCTTCAGGTGAAACGGGGAGGACAGAAGGGAGAACAAAAGCTCTGTGTTCCCGATTCAGGCTGAGGTCCACCAATCACGGCAGGGCTATCAAGGTCGCCTAGCAACCGCAGCACTCCCTTCACACTCCAAAAGATTTCTGTGCATCAGCTCGAAACCAGTGCATCTAGCTACCTGTGTGTGAGCGTAAAAGACAAAGGAGTTACTCACCCTCATTTCCATCTGGCTTGGAGTTCTTGATGTATGCAGAAAACTTGGCGAAGATGTCCATACCGGCGGTGTTGGACTCGGGGTGTTTTGCACTAAGCTTGATGTACCTGAACGAGACACAAAGAAAATCATCATATGGAAACCGTGAGCTAAGACATGAAGGAATATAATATTCATACTTTGTGTCAACCCTTAAAATTACATACTGATGGTAGAAAAACGTTATTTTACAGTCTTAAAAAAATTGCCTGATAATCTGACAAACAGTACCGTATTTTCCAGACTATAGTCACACTTGTTTTCATAGTAAGGCCAGTCCTGCGACTTATAGTCCGAAGCGACTTATATACGTTTTTTTCCCTATTCATGACGCAATTTTTTGACTGACATATTAAATGTTCATTCATACAGACATGCACCAAAGAGTAACATCACCATTTGCAGCCGCGAGAGGGCCCTCTAGGCTTTTGACAACTATATGTTATTCCTCTACTGTCCCCCCCCCCCCAAAAAAAACATTCACTTAGAGACAACTGAGAAAAACTTAACAAGTAAAATGCCCCCCAAAGTACGATGGAGCTTTAGGGCCACGCTAAGATAAAAAAAAAGCCATAAAATTACAAGAATAAAGTCGTACTAGACTTTTTTTCTTCCCGAGTCGGATCCACAAAGCGACCTGACAATCAATCCAGTAGACGTGTCAGAAAATGACCAATCCGAAAGCGGTAAACCTGCTTTATGTATCGGAATTTGGATAATATTACGTTTCATTTAGCTAATTTACCGGTAACTTGCTTGTCGGACTCGTTGGCTTGTTATGTTAATTAAGCCTGTTCAGGGTCACAGGTATGTTCTGTGGGTTGTTGTTATTTCAGATTAAATGTCTGTTCTTGCACTTTGTGAAATACACTTCCTAAATAAATGCAACTTGTACTCCAAAGTGACTTATATATTGTTTTTTCCTTTTCATGAGGCATTTTTTGACTGATGTGACCTATACTCTGGAGTGACTTATAGTCCGGACAATACACTAATGAAGGTTTTTTTTTTAAACATTTTAAACCTGTAAAACATTTTTTTAATTAAATCCACAAGAGGCTGCCGCTCTTCCACTGCATGATCAAAGCATTTTTAAAAGTCCAGCTCATACCTTTAGGTGTGGCTGCCCATTATCACATGCATCAGAAAGTACTCACTTGGGTGGGCAAAGGACATCCTCGAGAAACTCCTCGATCTTGTTGACGTCGGTTTTGACCTCGCCGTTGAACGTGATGAAGGGAGGGTGTGTGCCAGGGGCCAGGTTCTGGAGGTCTGCAGGCTTCCTGTTAAAAAGTGAGGACGTATTAAAGTGCTGATTCAAGTAGGGTCAAACCAGTAAAGAGGTTCTAAAAACCAAAGTATCAATCAAATAAACAAAAACTTCCTAGCTAGTAAAAAACCAAACATGTATGTCAGATTAAATTAGATAAAAGGTTGCGTTAAACCCTATTGCTTTTCTTTCACTGCAGCTTCATGTTATGTCTTTAACTCTGTGTGTTTGTGTCCTGGAGGGTGTTCTGCAGCCTTCAGACCAGCGCAGTGCACCAGCTGGCAGGCAGCTGAGGCTGCCACACAAACAGAAATGAGCATGTGTTGAAGGAGCGCTGTGAACACAACTGAGAATTCGAAAGGACACAAACATAAAACAGCAGCGGCTCAACGGCTGACTCGAGTGAGCCAGCAGCAGTTTGATATTAATGTCACAGGCAAACAAACCTTCACTGAGACCAGGGGGTTTGGTGCAACGACGGTGGCTGAATTTTAGGTGAAGCCATTTAAGGCTGCCAAAAAAGGGGGAAATGACTTCAGCTCTTTGGCATGTTGAAGGGGTGTGGTACAGTTCCCCTGTGATACGACTGAGGAGTGGGCAAGAAGGCGACTCACGAATGACTCATTGAACAAAAACAAAATGTAAAAGCTCCATTTTAAGATCCTTTTTTAGCTGTAATATTCTTTCACAGTAATATGTTTTACATGCCCTGCTCTTCAAAGTAATTTCAACAGTAAACCTGCCATAAATAAAGCAAACATGCCTCATTTGACTCCCAGCATTTTATGTTGACACAAGATAAGCAAAATCAAATGGCACAGAAAATAACGTAGCCATGAGTAATACCTCTAAGAAACTAAAAGTATAAAGTACACACGGACATGAAGTTGTTTAAGGAGAAATGAGAAAAAATAAACACCAAAATAGAGTGTAACATTCACTGCTTTGCACGGTTTGTTTCTATAACCCGTTTGACAGTGTATGTACGGTGTGTATCAAATATATTTGAACTTTGTACCAAGTCAATTTGCAGACATGTGAGAAAACCCAAACAAAGTGTCAAATAAGCACTGCTTCCACCTACAGGGCCGAGCAAGAAACCAACCCTGAGTTACATCGGTTTTTCAGACTTATTTAAAGAGTTATAGGAGCTTCTCCACACATGAAAGCAAATATCCTTGCAGCTGAGAGGGGAAATAAAACTGCAAGATCACCGTTTTCTGATTCCAGTGGTCAAAAAAATAAAAATAAAATGAATAACAAATAAGGCAGCACGGTGGCGCAACTGGTAGAGCTGCTGCCTCTCAGTGAGCAGGTCCTTGGTTCAAACCCCGGTCCAGGGGCCTTTCTGGGTGGAGTTTGCATGTTCTCTCCGTGCATGCGTGGGTTTTCTCCGGGTACTCCGGTTTCCTCCCACAGTCCAAAAAACATGCATGTTAGGCTGATTGGTAACTCTAAATTGTCCCTAGGTGTGAATGAGAGAGTGAATGGTTGTTTGTCTCGTTTGTCTCCATGTGGCCCTGTGATGGACTTGCGACCCGTCCAGGGTGTACCCCGCCCCTCGCACAGTGATTGCTGGACATGGGCACCAGCGACCCCCGTGACCCAAAATGGAATAAGCGGGTAAAGAAAATGGATGGATGGATGGATGAATAACAAATAATAAAAATAAAAAAAACACACTCTCCATCAAAATCCAGGCAGGAAGTAGGTTAAGTCAAGGACCTTAAAATAGCTACTCCACAGTCTGGATGTTTATTGTCTCCGATTTTCTCCAGCCTGTGAAGGGGTCATGGGAAAACCAAATAAGCAGAGTGAGCGTGTTAAAGGAGGGACTGAACCAAAGTGTTACAATATGGATGAAATCTCGGGCACCAACTCCCAGCGCCCCCAAAAGGAGAACGAGTAAAGAAAATGGATGAATGGATGGATGAAATCTCTGTGGGAACACCCAGGAAAGAAAGCTGTAGGGAGCTATCAAAACAAGGAAAATGTTACGCTTTCATTTAAAGAGCTTAAAAGCAAATGAGGGACAGGTAAAAAAAAAAAAGGACAATAAAAACATAATACTGACAGACTCACCTTTTAAGGTCCACTGTGGTGACGTTGAAGACGACTCCTTTAAGCCACAGAATCATGAAGAGCCTCTGGGAAAAGGGGCAGTTCCCGATGCTCTCACCATCGCTTCCCGCCTTAAAGAAAAGAAAAATTAGTTAGAAAATAAGTAAATTACCATTTAAATTATGTTTCACGTATCATTACCAACAGATGTGGTGTACTACAGGATGGAAATATATATATGTCACAGGTAAATGAAACCACAAACAGTTTAACAAGCCAGGACCCTAACCCAAGTTTCTATAACTGATAACAATCGGCATAAAAATTTGGTTGAAACTCAAGAAGGCCATAATCTTTATGATAAAAAGGTTTTATGTGTATTGCACAACCTTTACAAGGTTCAGGGCATTTCGCTTCACTCAGTGAGGGTCTGTCTGAGATAAAGGCTCTTTCAGGCTTTTTTCATAAAAAAATTAAAAAAATTGTAGGAGGGAAATTGTGGAGAACTGTGTCTTTACGACTTCAGCACATTTTCTCATTCATTAATCTCCAGAAGTACTTTAAAGGGTAATGGAGTCTTTAAGTCTATCTCATCCATAATCCATATAGACTGAAGACTAAAACCCAAGACAAAAAGTGAGAGAGCCATTATAAAAAGAGAAAGGTACAGCAGTGATTTAGCTCCTTATCTCCATCGAATAGTGAATACAGTATTTGTGAGATGTCGCCTGCTCTCCCCACAGCCATTCATCTTTGTTCTCTGCTTTGTCTTGTTTTTCTAACCCTCTAAATTGTATCGTTCTCTGCTCAACTTCCAGCCATGCGGAGTTCATCTGGATTCCACATCAGAGAGCAGAATAAGCGCTTCATTTGATTATTTGAGTTTTGTATCTTAATGAAATCTGCAGCTCGTTAACCCCACCCTGAGGCATGCCTTATTTGATTTAAAACACGTCATAAAATTGAAAGCCATCACTAATCAGACAACATTCTCCTGAACTTGTATGCGTTAGCAAAAAGGTCACACAATTGCCTTTATCGCCTAGTTTTTACATTTTAGATTATCCCATAACACTGAAAATCATGTTTTTTTTATGATGTAATTCTGTTTACAAAAGGACAGCATTGATGATTGGTGCTCTAGATTAAGCATGCTGGGGTAGAAGAGCTTCTGGGAAACAGATGAATATCAGCTGTTGTCCATCTGTCTGCCTCTTCTGTCCTCAGTTTTTCCAAATTTCCTACACTCATCACCTCTGCATACGTCTCAATTCCCACACAAACTCAGACGATAATGCAGTGGGGGGGCGAGAAACAAAGATGAACAATATGGTGTCTTTGCACATAGGTTTTCACAAAGCACTGATTTAATAAGCCAAGTCAAAACACTTCTGATAAACATTTGCAAGTCAGAGATGCATGTTCTGATTTATTTATTTATTTTCCTGAATAGAGGACTGTTTCAGAGAGGCCGCTCAGTCCAGCAGTTCCAGGCTTGCTGCTGCTGTGTGACACTCAGTGGGACGGCTGTTTGATCTGTCTGCTGGTTTCCATTGCACTGAAACTGCCCCCCCACCCCACGAACTCAATATTTGACACTTGGATTAAATCACACTGCCATTGTTTGGCAAATGAAAATCCCCACCAAACATTATATGATCAGCTCTAAAACTCTGGCCTTGAGGCTGTCATGGTTTGTCTGAACTTCTTACAGGATCAGAGACGTCAATGGGATGATTAGCCTCCAGAACAACATCTACCGAGAACCATTCAGGTCTGAATGAAGGGTTGAAATGCGACACAGCAACTGTTCCCATGGCAATGGCCAGAACATATGTCACCGAAAGAAGAGCTTACAGTGCGGAGAAGAATAACGATGCAGGTGAACCATCTGAAGTGAGTTCTCTTTTAAGCCGAGATAAAAACGCAAGCCACGTGACAGAATGTCATTTGTAAATTAAAAAAAGGTGCTTCTAGATAGAGAGCAGCTTTTTAATAGAGTTCAGCAGTCTCCGGTGGCAAAGAAGAAGGCCGTGGCACGACTGAGAACCACATTTCAAGGTAGGAGGCGAGCCGTAGCAGGGCTTCTACCCTCTGGAGCCTGCAGCAGAACACACTGCAGCTTTGTACAAGAGACACGCAGCAGACATCTGCAGCACAAGAGGCAGAGAGATTACAGGAAACATGGGGGAAATGAGGAACCACGTGTTTTGCAAACTGGCATGAATGAGGAGGGAATAGATGCATTAAGGGAGAATAAAGAGGATTGGTAACAAGGTGAACAGGCAATGTGCCGTTTGGCACGCTACTTTTTTCTTCGTCTCTTGCTTCTTCTCTCCCCGTTATTCCTCTCCCCTTATCCTGGGCCCCTCTGTGGAGTCATGGGGGGCTGGGCATTTGGAGAGGGCGAAACTATTCTAGAAATGTCCCCTTACTTCCCTCCAAAAAGTGTGCCTTCCTTAGTTATGCTGGTGGAGCTGCATTTCATTATATATTTAAACTAAACAGCTGACTGAGATGTCAAAAAAAAAAAAAAAAGTGAAAAAACTTTCACGGGACAAAACCAGAATCAGACAGTGTCAAATGCTATGTACTTTGAAAACTGATAATTCAATAAAACAAGATTTCAAATGTTCAGGGCGCTGTTATAAACACCATCCTACAGAGTGCTAGTTAATGTGATGTTAAAAGAAAAGATGCTGGAGTCTCATGAAAAGCAACACCTGAAAAACACTTTTTTGTTTGACCAATTTTATCAATTTTACCATCATAAGTTAGCAAGGTGGAAAAACACCCTAATAAAACACCTTCTGTAACATTTTAGGTAAAATAGTTGCCAAATATGCATCTTTTCCAACTAATAAAACAAATATTTTCCAAGTACAATAAGTATCTGCTTATTTGTTCCAAAAGGAATCACATTTTGCAGACCATGGCACCATCTTTCACACCGTTTATCACAGAGAGACCAAAATAAAATCTGAACCAGCCACTCAGCAACGGCTGACGTTTGCTAAACTCAAACTCTACGTCATGGAAGATACAATATCTGGACGTTATCTAGAAGTTTGTTTCTGACGCCGAGGCTCCCAAACAAACAGTACTATAAGACGGACACCATCATCTTCACCATGAGGTCATCCCTCTCCATCTTTGGCCACTTACATTACGTAACAAACGAGATTCATCAGCAGTAAAATTAAACTCAGGTCAAAAACCTTAAACGTTTTCTATGTACACCGTTACAGCAAATTCAGTTTCAAAAAACCAAGTTATTCTCACATTCCAGATCAGTAACATTTTAGAAAATGTTTAAAAGAGCATTTGTTTTTTTGTTGTGGATTTAGATATATCTATACTAAAGCAGTTTAGCATTTCCCGTTTTGTTCATTTGTTAGATTTCATTTGATCAACAATCTCTTTCAAGACGAGCAGTGTTACAAGAGTCAGCAGTCGGAAACAATGAATCCTGTTCATGCAGGACACAGTCCTTCCAGTCTCTGCCAATGACCTAACGGTGGACCTAATGGCGGACGTGCTCGTCCCTCCAACACATTTCATTTTCTAAATTTGTTGGACAGCTCAAAGTTCAAGCCACACTTGACCGAATAAGGAACTACAACGATGAAAGAAGCACTTCAGCTTTCCTCCTCCTGTTCTGACACAAAGCAGGAATGTCCGCCTGAGTGCAGGCAGCCATGGTACCATCATGGAAATGTCTCCGTGTTTGCTGGAAAAGTCTACAGGCTGGGCTGGGGTTAGAACTACAACTGAAACGAGGAGCCGAACTAATAAAACAAAATAACTTTTTTTTAAATGTAATCTGTCAGCTCGTGGAATAAATTGTTAAATTTGTTAAAAGGAAATATACTGAGAGGAATAATATATCGCCCACTTTCAAACCCCCTGCCTTTGTTATACTCCCTGGTCTAACAGAAATAAGGAAATTAGGTAAAACAACAGAAGAGGGGCTCAATACGGAGCACTACTTTTTGCCAGAGTAAAGTGTAAAAAGCCTGAGACAGATTCATAAATCAGAATGAAAAGCAGCCCTTGCTTTTAGGATTAACAAAAGCATCAAATTATTTTACCAGATTCTGTTAAAAAGGTCAGTATTAAGACTCAGCCTTAGGACTGAGTAATTCAGGCAGGACTGGGTGGGTATTTAGAGCTCCTACCAAAGTTAGAAAGATGAGTGTACAAAGGAGTAGCATATTACTGGAACTTGGAAACACCAACACATGCTTGGTGTGACTCTGACTCAGGCAGGCATCACTCTGTGGAAAGCTTTAAGCGTCCAGTCAGACATGACTACCGTGTTGGATTTGATGGAAACATGAATTGCAATGCCCCAAAATAGTGAAGAGCACAGATCTAGGATAATACAAGAGAAAGAACTAAAAAAGGAAAGTGATTTCTAATACAAGTAGGAACCAAATTCCAAAAGTTACATAAACCTTATAGATGTGTAAATGAATTGGAGATTCTGTACATGATAGCATGATTAAGAAGTTTATTTTATTATGAATCTGCATGCTCAAATGGATGAGTTCCAAAGAAAGCTAAAAAAAAACACACAAAAAAAGCAATTGATGGTCTAAAAAACGAAGAAAAATTTTTGTAAACATAAGTGAAACTCTGTGAAAAAGCTTCTTATTCATAAATATCAAAAGCTGCTGTCAATTAGATTGCACAGCAAAACCAACATCTAAAGCCTTTAAAAGCTCATTGCAGTTGGATACAATGAAACAGTTGTAATTTCCTAACTTTTCTAACACCCCAAAATGTGAAAAATGCATGAAATTATGCAAAAACCACAAGAAGTGGCTGGTCAGCAATTCACTGAATAAATGACTGCTCTTCATTTAGTTTTTGGTATACTTATCTCACATGTCATGCATTAAACTGGGCAAGATTTGTACAGTAAACACAGCACTGCAGCTGAATTAGGTACATGAGGGTAGTTAAGACACCTGTCCTGTGATTGTTCTGTAAACTTTTGACTTTGTTTGTTTGGCCATAAAGTTTGGTTGCTGGTCGAACTGCAAATTCTGGAGGAACAATGCGGGTTCCGTCCCAGCCATGAAACACTGAACCAGCTTTTTACCCTCTCTAGGGTCCTTAAGGAATG